GGGGGGGGAGGGGGGGGGCGGGGGGGGGGGGGGGGGGGGGGGGGTTGGAGTTAAAACGATTCTAAGGGTTCACGCACTTTTTGGGAGGAGTGGGGGGGGGTTAGAACGATTCTAAGGGCCCACGCACTTTTGGGGCCCCAAAGTGGTAGTAGTAATGTAATAGAAATTATAAATGTATATACCAAAGAATTACAAATAAAACTAAATTACGACTTATTTCTGCATTTCCAGCAATATTATCTCCCCCCATTCACTGCATTCGTCCCGTCCTAGAGTCACTGAGTGAGATCAGATGGTAAACTGTCAAATTAGAGATGTCTTCAATGCTGGACGATTTGGTCAGTCACACTTTTAAAATGATTGGTTATAATGCGCAGCGCTGTAAATACTAGTCTGTTTCTGGCTCAGCGCCAGCCAGCGAACACAAATTTGAATTTAGCAGCTAATGATGTGTAATCAAACCTGTGTGATTGAATCAAATATAAAAAATATTATTCTGCTATTTTTGTCTTTTGGAAGCTGTATTCAAAATCCAAATCTGAGGGGGCACATGCAGGGGCACCGGTTAGCAAACAAGGAATAGCTGTTAAGCTAATAGTCACATTTAGCTGAGTAAGATCATGATTGAGAAATGTTGGATACTTCTGGAAATGCTGGTGTTATGGGGTATCCTATTTATTATTTTAGGATTTTTTTGTTTGCTCCAGTGAAGCATTTCTATTAATATAACTGATTAAGTAGTCAAACTCATTCCATATCAGCAGAATAGTGTGGTACAGAAAGTCTATGTCCATAGAAAAGGTTCTGAATGAATAATGTTTCTGATACCTAATGGTCAAAAGCAAAAGTAATAGGTCAATATTATTAAATTGATCATTATTAATGATTTTGAATAGCTAGGTTGGCTTGTACACTATATTGCCAAAAGTATTGGGACACCCCCTTCTAATGAACAGGTTTGACTACTTTAGTAACTTCTATGAGTACAAGTCTTAATGTTTAAGCATATAATGATATTCTAGGGAATTGTGTGCTTCTAGTTTTATACCAATAGTTTGAACAGGACCCGTTTCTATTCTAACACAAGCATGCCTCTGTGTATAAGGCCAGGTTAAAAAAAAAGATTGATTCAGTCAGTGTGGAAGAACTTGACTGATCTGCATACATGACTTGTACATACATATGGACAAAAGTATTGGGACACCCCCTTCTTTAGAACAGAAAAGGGCATTTCCAAAACTGTGGCATTCTTGTGTTAGAATAGAAAAGGGTTCTGTTCAAACTATTGGTATAAAATTAGAAGCACACAATTCCCTAGAATATCATTATATGCTTAAACATTAAGATTTGTACTCATGGAAATTACTAAAGTAGTCAAACCTGTTCATTAGAAGTGGGGGTCCCAATACTTTGGGAAATGTAGTGTATGTTTGGTGCGGTAGGGGGCCCAACCTCATATTCTTTCATAGGGCCCAAAATTGCTAGCGGCACCCCTGGGGAAGTGCCCCCTCGGTTTGAATGGGCATGACGCCTCTGGGTTTAGGACTCTTGAATTATCATTAAACCCAACAGTAAAACAACATGGAATTATCGAGGACAAATTTGACAGAGGGTAATAATGGTTGAGTTATTATAATCCAGTATAATATAGTTTAACTAAATTAGAATTACAATCAGTTAAATTATATTATATTATATTATATTGCGTTAAATTAGAATTCAAATCAGTAGAATTTAGTTCACTTTAAGATTCTATACTTTTACTCAAGTACAGGATTTGTGAAATTCATCCAGGACTGCTGTAATTTGGCTGAAGACTGTCAGCTGGTTCAGAGTTTGGGATTACATAAAAGTCAGTCACATTGTTTGTTTTTACAGTTTCGTTTGTTTTATCAGCCAAACCCTATTCAGACCTAATGTTAATGTTTAAAAATATTTTTAAAACATAAAAAAAAAAAAAATCAGCTGCTTCTTTGTTTTAAATATTACAAGACCAGTTTGTCAGCAGCTTCACCACATAAGGCAGAAGACACATTTCTTATATTTCTATAAAGAGACTGAAGTGGTCAACTAAAACTAAAGGATGATGTCAAATATGTGTAGTGCAGTAGACCTGTAATTAGTGGTTCCAAATCCAAATTGAAGCAACAGGGGATCAGTGCTTGACCTGGTTCTAACATCTCTACCCTCTGACTACAGCTATTGTGTGCAAAGCATAAATGTTTACAATAATAGGCTACATCCTAAAAATATAATTAGAAGTACAATTAGCATCAAGCTACACTTGAAAATGTATGTAATTATTAATGTATTTGCTTACCCACTTTAAACCATCATCGAGTGCTTGTAAAAACTTCCAATTGTGATCTATATTTGATTTTGACTAATAAGCAGACACATGCACTCTTTGTATGTTTAATAACGCTACACTGCTAATATCGGTCATAAACATCCTTTATTGCTATAAAAATACCATGAGCTGCATACAAAACACATACAGAAAATATATCGTCATAATCATATGTCTATTTGCTTTCATATTTCATGTGTAGAAAAAGAGTGAAAGTCTTTTACATGCAAGGAGTGCTCATCCCCGGTCCTTGAAACGTGGTCTGCTGTATAGTCAGTTTATGAGACTTTTTCGCATTTGTTCTAACAAGGATGATTTTGAAGCCAAACCCCAGAACTTATATAGTGATTTTAGATCTCGGGGAAATCCTATCAAGTGGCTAGATACTGCATTAGACAAAATTAGATCTTTGCCAGATGATACCAACATGACTTCCAAAAAAAATATGTTTTCTTATGTATTTAAATCTACTTTTAGTCCCTTGAGTCCAGAAACCAAAAAGGCAATCAATAATCATTGGCATATCATAGTGATTGTAATTTGTCAGATCTGTTCACTGATCCACCTCTCTTTGTTTACTCCAGGCCTCCAAATCTACGGGATAAATTGGTGCATGCAGATACCTACATCCCCACTCCTGGGACACTCTCTGATGCCCAGGGAAATTTTCCATGTAAAGGTTGTGTTGCTTAGGTTAGGTTAGGTCAACTTTATTTGTCTCGAAATTTGGCTTGGACAAAGGACGTGCTGCACAAAAAAAGACATAATATATATATATTAAACAAATATACTCAAAGTGCATTACAGTTTAACTAGATGATCTTATGCAGATAATATCCCACCCTAATCCCCCCCACACCCTCAGAATACATTTCCTTTTGATCATTTAAAAATTTAACAGACAACGGGATAAAATAATATTTATACCTATTGTACCTACACAATGGGACCCTAAATCTCCTCCCTGAGTCCATCAGCCTATATTCAAGGTAAAGCACATGCGTATTGTCAGATAAAATACTTCTAGCTTGTCTGCTTATGGCTTGCTAAAACAACTCCTGAGGATTAAAGGGAGCGGGGGTACCCATAATTTTACCCGCTGTAGAATGTAAACAAAAATGGCAAAGATATGCACCCCTGAGGGACGCCAGTACAATACAATACAATACAATACAATACAATTATATTTATATAGCACAGTTTAAAAACAACCGGAGTTGGCCAAAGTGCTTTACAACACTATACCAACAATAGGCAAATTAAAACAGTTGTAAAACAAAATAACACATTAAATATACACAGAATATACACAAGCTGTAATAATGTGTGGCGTTCCTGAGAACAAAGTCAAAGACAGTTTGTCATGGGATATCGAACGGCAACGAAAATAAATAGGTCTTTAGAGTGGATTTAAAAATAGACAAGGTTGGGGCAGTTCTGATATGAGAGGGGAGACTATTCCAAAATTTTGGCCCAACAACAGAAAAGGCATGGTCACCTCTCATTTTTAGCCTTAATCCTAGGAACATGCAGCAAGTCAGAATGAGTAGATCTGAGCGATCTCGACAAAGTATGAGGTTGTAACAACTCGGTTAAGTACAGTGGGGCCAGATTGTGAATAGATTTAAAAACAAACAGCAGAATTTTAAAATCAATTCTGTACTTTACTGGAAGCCAATGAAGTGAGATTAAAACCGGTGTAATAGTCTCATATTTGCACTTTCCAGTTAGAAGCCGAGCTGCTGCATTCTGGACTAACTGCAGACGAGAAACACAAAACTGTGGAACACTAACATACAGAGAATTACAGTAGTCAAGCCTGGATGGACAACAGAAAAGGCATGGTCACCTCTCATTTTTAGCCTTAATCCTAGGAACATGCAGCAAGTCAGAATGAGTAGATCTGAGTGATCTCGACAAAGTATGAGGTTGTAACAACTCGGTTAAGTACAGTGGGGCCAGATTGTGAATAGATTTAAAAACAAACAGCAGAATTTTAAAATCAATTCTGTACTTTACTGGAAGCCAATGAAGTGAGATTAAAACCGGTGTAATAGTCTCATATTTGCACTTTCCAGTTAGAAGCCGAGCTGCTGCATTCTGGACTAACTGCAGACGAGAAACACAAAACTGTGGAACACTAACATACAGAGAATTACAGTAGTCAAGCCTGGATGTAACAAATGTGTGTATTGCTATTTCAAGCTTCTTCAATGATAGAAATGACTTCACTTTGGAGAGAAGCCGGATATAATAAAAACAGGACTTAACAACGGTACTTATCTGCTTGTCAAATTTGAGGTTATTGTCAAACCAAACACCCAGGTTTCTGACACAGGTGGTACTGTATGGTGACAGAGATGTAGTTTCGAAGTCATGTACACTATGATCATTGGGACCAAACATAATGAATTCAGTTTTACTCTCACTGAGGCACAAAAAATTTGTTGCAAGCCAAAGTTTCAGTTCCTTCAGGCAATCCAAAATGGGCTTATTGGCATACTTATTACCATGCTTTAAGGGGATGTAAATTTGGGTGTCATCTGCATATAGATGGAAAGAGACCCCATGTGAGAACAATATCGGACCATGAATCAATCCTTGAGGTACACCAGATCTTAAAAGCATCTCAGAGGAGGAATGATGCCCAATGTTGACGACATATCTCCTATTAGTAAGATATGACCTAAACCACTGTAATACTGTGACCTGTAAACCAACACATGCCTCAAGACGAGATATAAGAATATCATGGTTGACCAGAACGAAGGCAGAGCTAAGGTCTAACAAGACCAGAGCCATAGACTGGCCAGAATCCGTAGTCAACATGACATAATTTAGAACTCTTAAGAGGGCAGACTCCATGCTGTGGCAAGATTTAAAACCAGACTGAAATTTTTCATAAATAGAATTTTGAGACAAATAAGATTGAAGTTGATTTAAAATCGATTATAATACAATTTTCTCTACAATGTTTTATAAAAAAGGCAAATTTGAAATCGGATGAAAGTTAGCCAACAATGTCGAGTCCAAATTGGGTTTTTTAAGATGTGGTCGCACTGTGACAAGTTTGAAGACATGGGGGACAGTCCCAGTTTGGAGACTTTTACTGATAATAGACAACAAGTCAGGACCGACAGTGTCAATAATCTGTCCAAGAAAACGTGATGGAATAACGTCCTGAGGACACATTGTGGGTTTCAGGCTAGACAGAGTTTTGATTAAGGTGTTCAGGTTAACAGACTCGAAAAGAGACCAAGTAGAACCAGAGTATGGAACATCAACCAAATCATATGATGACATTGACACAGTAGACACGATTTGAGAGCTACATACTGCTATGTCAGATAAAGCAGAATTAAACCTCACCTGCTGTGGCCTGTCATACAGAAAATAATGATACCACTTAATTAAAAAAGGATTTATCTTTGCCTGGGCTAACTTACTAAGGAGACTGTGAGGCTATTTTAAGTTAAAAGCTGAACTGAAGTCAATAAAAAGCAGTCTGGCATATGCAGTCGGACATTCAAGATGCTTCAAAATAAGATGCATTATTGTTGCAATGGCATCACTTGTGCTTTGATTTTTTTTGTATAAGCAAGCTGATATTTATCAAGCAATGGCTCCACATCGGTGCATAACTTTTCTAACATAAGCCTCTTAAAAACCTCTTTAAAGGTAAGCCTTTTAAAAACACTTGAGGTGAGTGTCACCGGTCTGTAATCATTATCCTCCCGAGGGCACCCCTTTTTGGGTACCGGGATTATAATGGATTTTTTTCCACAGTACCGGCACAGTATGAGTATCTATAGAAAACTGAAATAATTTATGCCAGGCAGGTGACAACTCCTCAGCAAAGGTTCTAAACACAAACGCGGACATATTATCTGGGCCAGTGACTTTGTTAGTGTGTATAGTTTTAAAAACCTTAGTAACAGCATGTGGTTCAATTAAAATTCTGTCCAAATTCATATCACAAATTACATTCTCTGAAACTGTCATACATTCCTTAACATTGTCCTTATCTGTATCAAAACGCAAATAGAAATTGTTCAGTTCATTGGCCCTAGCAGTTTCATTTAGGGCAGACAGTGGCTTCCTTTTTGTGTCCATATTGGTCATCTGTTTGATTGAATTCCACAGTTTATTTGTATTAGATATAGACAAGTCCTGTTCTGCTCGCTCCTTAAACCGGTACCGGGCCTCTCTCATTTGGAAATTGAGCTCCGTTTGAGCCTCACGAACACCTGCCAAGTCGCCAGATTTAAAGGCATCTCTCTTTCTCCTGATACATTCCCAGATACCTTCAGTAATATACAGTTTATTATTTGGTTATTGCTTAACAATTTTCTGGGGGATAATAGAGTCGACTCAAAAAGAAATGTAGTCTGTGATTGATTCCGCTGCACTATCAATGCCTTTGTCCTCAAAGAAGACGTCCCAGTCCGTACAGAGAAAGCAGCCTTTCAGTTCCTCTTTTTTCCCTTGTCCAGACCTTCACAGTTTGCATTTCAGGTTTACAGGTCTTAAAAACTAACCGGTAAGTTGGAAGCAGGTAGATGAAATTATGATAGGAGTTACAGAGGGGTGGTCTAGTTTTGGCTATATAGCAGTGGTGGGCCATCAGGGCCAGCAAAGCCTTCTCTGCTGGCCTAAACGTTTTAATATATTTTTCCATGAATGTGTATTAAATTATTTCCAATAGTCTATTCTCTTCAGTTCATAGCTTTTCTCTTGGTTGCACTGCTTCCAGCAGTGTATGTTTAAATTAGAGCTTTAATCCAATCATATTTCAGCAATCGTGTTGCCAGGGTCAAAGAAATCTGCCTTAAGGCCTTCAGAATCAACAGTGCAGGCATCCGTTATCTTAAATCAATGGCAATGAAACTGTTGCGTTAACCAATCAGATTTTGAGTTGGCAACACCAGGGCCATCTAGCTGGCTAACGATAACGTCAGCATTTTCTCCTCCATTGATTGGATGGTCAGCGTACTAGCTAGCAAACAGCATCACTGTAAATCATTTTATTAAAACTTAGTAAAACATTTATTACTGTTTCTCAGGTTTAGATTTGCATTTTGCATTTTGAAAAAATATTTGCCTACTATATTTAGTCAATCTAAAAACAGCAGTCCTAATGTCTGCGAAAAACAACCACACACCTCCTCGGCAGCGGCTCTGTGAAAGACTCGTGAAGATGAAAAACCACTCGAGTATGGTAGGTTCATTTTCATTTTTGACTCTTTTATCGCTTGATGCGTTGTATGCTGATGTTATTTGCACAATATAAAGCAAGGTTTAAGTTTCCGTAAGAATATCTCAGTTTCCCGAGTGGAGCTGTATTAACCAGACTTTTCCTGGCAGAGGCAGAATGATGTGTTGCGCAATTGTTAATTGGGTTTCTTTCTTTAGTAATGGCATTCATTCTCGCTACATAAGATACCTGTCTGTTATGTAGTGCCCTGTTACACTGCATTACTGTGTAATATTTATGGTTTCTATAGCCGTGGCATCATTATGATGGTATGAAGCGATGGATTAATTCATGAAGGACGCCACTGAAGGTCTAGGTGTAAAATGCACGGCCCGCCACTGCTATATAGGCATCCCTGATATTACCATAGCACTTGTCAAGGATATTATTATTCCTAGTGCTGCACTTCACATACTGATAAAACCTGGGCAGTGTTTTAGTCAGGCTACAATGATCAAAATCGCTGAGTATCAGCATAGGTGCATCAGGTTTACTCTGGAGAAGGTGGTGAACACAGTCCGTAATCTGTTTAGCTCCTCTATTGGCATTCCCACTTGGTGGAATATATACAAGACACACAAAGATGTTAGTGGATTCCCTAGGCAGGAAATGTGGTTGCAGGGTAACACACAGCAGTTTGAGATCAAAATTGCATATTTTCTCTCTAATTGCAAAATTACGACACCAACTGACTCTTATATAAATACACACACCTCCTCCCTTAGTTTTACCTAAGTTTGCATCTCTGTCCAGTCGTACATGGGAAAAACCCTCAATTTGTATAAGATTGTCAGGCACATTATTCCCAAACCATGTTTCAGTAAAAGCCATTAGACCAGAATTCATAGCAGGCTCCCACCTGCTGGCGTAGGTCATCCAGCTTATTTTTTAAAGAGCGAGAGTTGCAGAGAATCATAGGCAGCAGCGGCAGTCTTTTTGCTCTCCGAACCCGCTGCCTGATGCTGCCCCTCCACCCTCTCTTCCTGGCTTTCCCACGACGGCAGAGGTCTGGGCCTTCGGGACACCGAAGTAGCTCCCGGGGCACGTCGTTGACCGATGAGCTTTGTAAAAATCGACGCGTTTCAGAAAGGTGGGGCATAGAGGAGAAACAATAATGTACAGTATGTGGAAAATAAAGTGTTTTTTTTTTTTTTACTTTAAACGCATAAACACATTTCATTACACCAAATACACAAAATAATGTTCTTTTTAGCAGCATCATATGACCCCTTTAAATTAAACCTAATTGTATCAAACTACTCCAATTAGTTATTTTAGGAGTTTAAATGTTTTTTTTATATTAATAATTTTGTCCTGCTCAGACTTGTATTGGACAATGTTTAAATGACATCAGACTTCTCAATTTTAGGAGATTAAGGCCTGGTTTCACAGACAGGGTTTAGGTTAACCCAGGATTAGGCCATAGTTCAATTAGGACATTTAAGTAGCTTTTATAAATGTGCCTTAGATAAATGCACTACTGATGTGCATCTTGAGACAAATCAATGGCACTGACAGATTTTAAGATCAGTCAGTGCAAGTTTCTTTCAGTTAAAACATCCCAGACATGCTTTTTAGTCTGGGACTAGGCTTAAGCCTTGTCTGTGAAATGGGGGGTATATGTTTATTTTGTCCTCCACAGTTTACTATTTTGTTAAAGTTTAAAGGGTTAGTTCACCCAAAACTGAAAATTCTGTCATTAATTACTCACCCTCATTTCGTTTCAAACCTGTAAGACCTTCGTTCATCTTCGGAACACAAATTAAGATATTTTTGATGAAATCTGAGAGCTGTCTGACCCTGCATAGACAGCAACGCAACTGAAATGTTCCCAAGTCCAGAAACGTAGCAAGGAGACCTGTAAAATAATCCATGTGACATAAGTGGTTCATGCGCAATTATACGAAGCTACGAGAATACTTTTTGTGTGCAAAAAAAAAAAAAAAAAGACTTATTCAACAATTTGTCTCCTCCGCATCACCCTGGTACTATTTTGGAGAGTATCAGCTAGACGTAAACAACATATGCTGTTCTGTGTCAGCTGCGTCACACGGATACGCTGTTTTTGTTCAGATCAAATCACAACAACATAGGAAACAGATCCGGCGTGACACAGCTGACACAGAACAGCATACTTTGTTTACGTCCAGCTGATACGAGCATGTGGCGGCACTGACCAAGATCCGGCATAATGATGTCATCACGCCGGATCTGGGTCAGCGCGGCGTCGCCACACGCTCGCGTCATTGTACTGTCGTGAACGCGCATCCACAAGTGACGCAGTAGAGACAAAAATGTGGAATAAAGTTGTTATTCTTGTTTTCTTTGCACAAAAAAAGTATTCTCGTAGCTTCGTAACTTTACAGTTGAACTACTGATGTCACACGGACTACTTTGTCGATCATCTTAGTACTTTTCTGGACCTTGAACGTGGTAGTTATCTTGCTGTCTATGGGAGGGTCAGAGAGCTCTCAGATTTCATCAAAAATATCTTAAATTGTGTTCCGAAGATGAACGAAGGTCTTACGGGTTTGGAACAACACGAGGGTGAGTAATTAATGACAGAATTTTCATTTTTGGGTGAACTAACACTTTAACTTTCACCACAGGAAAGCTCACAGGAATGATATATGGCCAGATTTTTCATGCAATCATGCATTTCCTCATAACACAACAGAGCTAAACTGGGCTATTGCTGGCATGCAGTTCACCATAAAGATGCATTTAAATTAAGCGATGTACAGAATATCTCGTTTTTAAGCCACTTGAAACTTTTTTTTTTGAATGTGTTGATTAGCACAGCACAAATCATATTTTATTCCAAATCATAACTCCAATATTCTAAGAAGAACATTTAGATCCGCATTACTAAATGAATGCATTAGATTTTTTTTTATAACACAATATAAAAAAATGGCACCAACCAAATATCACTTGACATGAGGCTTGTTCGGGTTGCATCGGCGCTGCGCAGAACGATCGGTATATGACATCAAAGTACTGCGAGAACCCTAATAGAGCAGATGACTCGATCTTTAGGCTTGTTTGAGATGCGCCTCGCCTCGCCTGAAATGAAGGCGAGAGTATGCGGCTGCAGTGAGGGGAGGAGTGAAATAAGCGCAGTCAAGACGGACAGTTCTGACCTCTCGAAGGGAACAGATACCAACGAGATCAAAGGCAGATATCTCGTTATTCTCACTTAAATGCTGTGTTGCTAATAAACACGATATAATTTCAGTTCTGTTGCTTTTATATGAACATAAATATGATGAACAAGACACTCAAAGTGCTTGCTATTTAATTCCATATGAAAGGTGTATTTATCATCCATTTTTACTTTAATACAAACATGTATTTTAGATTTTTATAGAAATATGACAACGATCACATATCTCACACAGAGATCGCACTGTCATAGTGTTTGGGAACATTCATCCATAATTTAAATACATAATCATATTAAATTCAGATCAAAATAAAATATTTTAGAAGAGAACCGCAGCATCATAGTTGTCTGAACCAATGAGCATTAAGCTGTGTCGTCAGTCAGTCGTTTCCCATCATGCTTTTGATCAGCGCAGTCGGTGGAGAGCAACTGTGCTCGACTGCACAATCCGACACAGCCGCCTCGCCGTCGCCAGAGTTTTTTGGCACATGTCAGCATGACATCAGAGCAAGTCGGACGTAACTGGGACACTTTTCTAACCGGCATGCATCTCGCGGTGATCGGTTCTGCGCAGATTTTGCTCATCTCAAACAAACCTAAAGACAGTTTTAAGTAGCAGTCTATTCAAGCCATTGAATAAAAGAATAAAAAATAAAATTTGTAGTTTATATTTAAAAATTCTGACTTTTTTCTTGCAATTCCGAGATTATATCTCACAATTCTGGTAAGAAAAATCAACTCTTCATTCTTTCTTTTTAGTTTATAATCCCACACTTCTGAATTTTTTCCCTCAGAATTGACAAACTCGCAATTGTTGCCTTGAATAAAGTTATAAAGTCCGAACTAGGAGATATAAACTTGCATTTGCAAGAAAAAAAGTCAGAATTGTTATATAAAATAGGTAAATGTTATGTAAAATGTTATAGGTTGAAATAGTATTTCATGCATGTATTTCAACTGTATGGCTAATACAATATGTCCCCTATATTAATATTATATAGACCTATTGTTTAAATCAAATTTATGCTTTAAAATACAGTAATCATAGCAGGTTTCATCCATAGTCTGTCCGTTTAAACGGCTGCGTTTTGCTTCAAATGGCGTCTTTGACGACAGTATTATATAAAAATTATTTGCAGTCCGATTCTGACATCCAAAGGCACAATATATTTTTTTTCTCTTATTCCATGGATTTTACACGTTTCCCTCCACTTGTTCCCTGTGTTTTTCTGCCACCACTATGCGTGTGCAGCTCCAAGTGACTTAACTGTGACGTCTACTCCAAATTGGTCTATAAGCCATTAGAGGTTGCCATGACAACTGATTGGTCTGAGATAATAATCTAGTAAACTGTGATTGGTGAGCGGTAGAGGCAGGCACTATAAAAAGACAGTTAAGGGTTTAATAATAAAGCTACATAGTTGGGTAAAAGGTTTTTTTTTTTTTTTTTTTACACTTCTTGTAGTTGTTGTGCTGAGGGCAGTTGATGGTAGTTTTGGCTTCATATGGATACTACTACCATGCGATTTGTAAGGTATTTTTATTTTATGGGTTTCCTAGTTATTTTTTTCTAAGATTTACTAAAATATAATTATTTTTAAAAAGAGGGGGAGGGTTTGCAGTTACTAACATTAAGTGTTTTACAGTTTTTCTTTGGCAGTGTTTTTAAGCCTTGGTGTTCATGACAGCATTTGGACTGGTACGTTTTAGTTTTTAGAAATGTATGTCATTGAACTTTGTCAACATCCTCTTTGTGATGCCTCTTGTCTTTTTGTTACAGTTGATGGCTATAGCTTTGTCAGCAATGCAGGCAATCCTGGATATTATAACCCTGATATCCCAAAAGATGGTCGACCCATGCAGGATGATGTTAAACTACAAAGTTTTTACACCGGGTATGGCCCAGGATATGTTGCTGGAACAATCAGGCCTCGGAGTTCTAAGAATATAATTTATAGTGCTGCAGTTAAGGGAGGCTATGGTTCTGGAAGCTACAATTCTCAGATTGGTTCTTCAGGTGGTCCAGTGACTAGTGGAAGTTCTGGTTCAGATACTAGAAGCCAGCTTCAGGGCTCTCGACTTGCTTCAGTCGGAAGTGGTAGTCTTGTGGGTAGTGCAGCAGGTATGGGCATGTCAGGGTATGGTGTAAGTCGGTCAGTTAGCGTTCAAGGCTCTGACACTATCCGTTCTTCCATGGTCTTGATGCCATTGCAAAGTAGTGATTCTGTTCCTAATGCAGAGCAGCTAAATTACCAAATTCCTCTGCAGACCAGCAATAACTCTGTGGCAGAGCCCGGCTGTCATCAGCTAGTGCAGACAATCTCCCAGTCCAGCAGTCAGCAATCGGCACAAGCCAGCTCTGGAACCATGGCCCAGTTTAGCACCCTACAGTTAACCCAGACCAGTGGCCAACAATTGGCACAGGCCAGCTCCCAGTCTGCAAGGCAGTCAAATAGAGGGGCCCCTTGAGCCTCGGAGAGATCGACTTTGGCAAACTGGTTCTAAGCTTTTTTCAGGTTCCAGGCCAGTTCAGGATCCAAGCTTTGGCTCTTTCAAGCCTTGGCCTCCCCAAAAATGAATCCATGTCACTGCCTAGCTACCAAATAGTGCAACACAGCAGTGAGTTGAACAGCCCTCAGCTAGCTCAGGCTAGCTTTGCACTTATGAGTCCGTCATCCCGCCAGCAATTAGCCCAATCCAGACTAGCTATGAAACTGCAGCTCAACCAAGCAGCCAGCAACTAGCACAGGTCATCCAGCCTAGCAGTGAACAACTGGCACAAACCAGCTTTCAGTCTGTGGCCCAGCTTGCTGTCCAACAACCAGCACAAGCCAGATACCCATCTGTGGTTCAGCCCAGCAGCCAGCAACTAGTTCAAGCCAGCCAATCCGTTGCCCAGTCCAGTGGATGGCAACCAGCACAGGGCAGCTATACGTCTGTGGCTCAGCCCAGTGTCCAACCAGCACAAGCTACTGACCTGCCTGTGGTTGAGCCCAGCAGCCAGCAACTAGTTCAAGCCAGCCAATATGTTGCCCAGTCCAGTGGACTGCAACCAGTGCAGGGCAGCTATATGTCTGTGGCACAGCCCAGTAGCCAACAAGCACAAGCCAACTTCCAATCTGTGGCCCAGGCCACCAGTCAGCAATTCCAACAGGCCATTGACCTGTCTGTGGTTCAGCCCAGCAGCCAACAACTAGCTCAAGCCAGTTCTCAGCCCAGTGGACTACAAGGAGTACAGGCCAGCTATCTATCTGTGGCTCGGCTCAGCAGCCAGCAACTCCCTCAGGCCGTTGACTTGTCAGTGTCCCAGCCCAGCAGCCAACAACCAGCACAAGCCGGCTACCCACATGTGGCTCAGCCCAGTATCCAACAACCAGCACAAGCCAGCTACCAGTCGGCTGCCCAGCCTGCTGTCCAACAACCAGCACAAGCCATCTACCAATCTGTGGCCCAGGCCAGCAGTCAGCAATTCCCACAGGCCACTGACCTGTCTGTGGTTCAGCCCAGCAGCCAGCAACTAGAACAGGCCAGCTCTCGGTCTGTTGCCCAGCCCAGTAGCCAACTAGCGCAAGCCAGCTACCACTCTGTGGCCCAGGCCAGCAGCCAGCAATTCCCACAGGCCATTGACCTGTCTGTGGTTCAGCCCAGCAGCCAACAACCAGTGCAAGGCAGTGGCCAGTCTGTAGTCCAATCCTCCAGCCAGCAACTAGTTCAGGCCAGCCAATCTGTTCAGTCCAGTGGACCGCAACTAGCACAGGGCAGCTATATGTCTGTGGCACAGCCCAGTAGCCTGACTCTTTTCAATTTGTTTCTAAGCTCTTTTCTGGTACCAGGCCACTCCAGAATCCAAGTCATAGCTCTGTAGTTCAGTCAAGTAGCCAACAACCAGCACAGGCCAGCTACCAGTCTGTGGCCCAGTCCAGTGGCTTGCAAGCAGCACAGGCCAGCTCCCAGTCTGTGGCTCAGCCAAGTGTTTTAAAAACTGTGCAAGCCAGCGATCAGTCCGTGTCCCAAACGATCAGGCCACAAGTTGCACAAGTCAGCAGCCAACAGTCACCACAAGCCAGCTACTCTGTGACTCAGCCAAACAGCCTGCAAACCGCACTATCCCGCTACCAGTCTGTATTCCAGCACCGTGAACTAACGGTTTTCAAGCCACTGCAGGCCCAAGGGGGATAACTTTATCAGGTTGGCTCCAAACTTTATTCATGCCAGGAGTATGTATTGCAGCCCAGTTACCAGCTTGCAGCCCGACCAGGATGGACTGAATATCAGCCTCCATCTAGACCAGTATCTCCATCCTTGGCTCAGCACATCAAACCTGTTGTACAACCTAGTTACCAGGCTCTGTGACTCAGCCAAACAGCCTGCAAACCACACTATCCCGCTACCAGTCTGTATTCCAGCACCGTGAACTAACGGTTTTCAAGCCACTGCAGGCCCAAGGGGGACAACTTTATCAGGTTGGCTCCAAACTTTATTCATGCCAGGAGTATGTATTGCAGCCCAGTTACCAGCTTGCAGCCCGACCAGGATGGACTGAATATCAGCCTCCATCTAGACCAGTATCTCCATCCTTGGCTCAGCACATCAAACCTGTTGTACAACCTAGTTACCAGGCCCCAGTGAAGCCTGGGCAGGACACCTGTGTCTGTGGTGTCACCCAGCAGCCATGTCCCTCCTGGCCCACTGCAATCAACACTCCAGTCCACTTTCAGACTAGCACAACTGCCTGAACCGCCTAGCTACCAGCTTCCAGTTCTTCCAAGCCGACAGCCTCTTGCTAAGCACAGACTGCCCAGTTATGATTCTGTATCACCGCTCCGTGGACCGCAATCTGGACCTCTGAGGCAATTGCAACAGTCTGGCTACCAGCCTCCGGCCAAGGCAAGATGTGTATCAGCCCCTAGTTAGGCCTGTGCAATCCAGCTACAAACCCTCAAGCAGTCTAGAACCATCTATCTACCAGCCTCAAATGTTGCCTAGCCACCAGTCACTAGCTCAGTCTGGCTACTTCTCCCCAGCCATTCCAGTGCAGTCTCTGTACAAGCCCCAGGTTGTCAAATTATGAGACCGTATCGCAGCCTGGGTTCCAAACATCTATGCCTGGGCAGTCAGGTTACCAATCTGTATCCAGATCAAGTTCCCAAGCCCTGGTGCAGCCCAGTAGTCACTATTTCAAGCTATGAGTCTGTGTCTCAGTCAGTGCAACGTGGACTTCAATATCCAGCACCGAATTATCAGCCTGTCACAAACCAGAATGCTCCTGGACCAGCTCAAAGTAGCCGGCATTTGTCTCAAAGCAGATCCAGGTTGTTGTAACAAGTGAAGTCATAGCTGTTTACTTGTGTCTGCAGTTTTCTGGTTGTGGATATTCGTTTTGAAAGTATCAAATTTCATTAAGGTTGTTTTTTTTTGTGTGTGTGTGGAGTTTAAGTGGAGACTAACTGTCTTGCCTTTTGTTGGTGGTTGACGAATCTGTAATGAAATTAGGTTTCGTATATCTAGTAGTTGAGTTTAAGTTGGCTGATAACTGTTCCAGTGAACAACATCTACCCCTGGTTTCACAGACAAGGCTTAAGCCTAGTCTCTGACTAAAATGTATGTCTGAGCTCTTTAAAGTTTTTCCCCACTGACTGAATTCGAATTTTTTTTTTTCTTTCTTCTCTTCCTTTTAAACCTTGCCTTAAACACAGAGGCATTCTTGTGTTGGAATAGAAAAGGGCCCTGTTCGAACTATTGGTATAAAATTAGAAGCAGCCAATTCCCTAGAATAATTATATGCTTAAACATTGCATATATGCATAAACAAAGATTTGTACTCCTGGAAATGACTAAAGTAGTCAAACCGGTTCATTAGAAGGGGGTGTCCCAATACTTTTGGCAATAGTGTACAAGCCAACCTGGCTATTCACAATCTTTTTCTGCAATTTAATTTTGACCTACTATTTCCGCTTTTGACCATTAGGTATCAGAAACCTAATTCATTCAAAACCTTTTCTATGGACCTTTCTGTACCACACTATTCTGCTGATATGGAATGAGTTTAGTTGGTTATATTAATAGAAATGCTTCACTGGGGCAAAAAAAAAAATCCTAAAATAATAAATAGGATACCCCATAACACCAGCATTTCCAGAAGTATCCAACATTTCTCAATCATGATCTTACTCCGCTAAATGTGACTATTAGCTTAGCTATGCACATACAGCATACAATGTTAAAAATGTTCTACATTATGAACCTTAACACAAAAACCTTTAGCTTCATACACTGTAGATAATTGTGACCCTGCCTGTGGAAACCCAGCTAAAGTATAAATTTTTAAAAATAATTTATGCATTTAACAGATGCTTTAAGCGCTTTAGAGTGCATTCAGGCTATATATAGTTTTACCAGTATGTGTGTTCCCTGGGAATGGATATGGCAATGCTCTACCACTGAGCCACAGGAACACTAAAACCGTGGATGAGTAATTAATTCCTTGATTTGCTTAATAAACACCTTAATAAACACCTTCTTTGAGATCGTTTTGGCAGACATGTTTGTGTATTATTTTCAACGTGTGCATTGCTAAGTTTAGTGTGTCAAAATAGAAGCACAGCCTTAATTCGCATGCAGTGTATCTGGTTGCCATGACAACCTCAAGCGCTTCCTGCCGCTGCTCTATGTAATCAGAGTGTGAATTTGTAGATTTTCTAAAGCAAAACCAAAATGTGTTTAAAAGTGCGACTGACCAAATCGTCCGGCCCGATCTCGGCTACTACTAATAAAACAGATCTCTGGGGGCCCCCAAAAGTGCGTGGGCCCTTAGACTCGTCCTAACTTTCCCCCCCTTAGCAGTGCCCCTGATTAGCTAAGTGGGTGACCATTCAGCATTGTGCGAACTCTGCAATACACAATAGAATTAGATATATCACAATATATAAAATATTTATATATATAACTACATTAAAAAAAATTCATGATTGTTTGAAACACATTTTTAAATATAAATTTTTAAATATTTCAGTTTGTCATTTGCCATTTTTACCACATGATTCTGTAAACATTTGAGAATTAACAGTTAAAAAAAAAGTAAACCTTATTGGAGATTTTTCTTTAATTAAAACACTGGTCTTTAAAACATACATACATACAGTACATACATAACATATTTTTGTGTAGATGGTATATAACATTTCAGTGCCTGAATTCAAATTGTTGCATTCAGTTAAGTAGAACAAATACGAATTGTGAATTATGTACATATAGATTTATTAAACATTTACACAGAAATGTAAATATAAATATGGCCCATTAAGCAAAAACACAGAGTGCAAAGTGAAATAATTATAGATCCTAAAATGCTGGAACAAGAATTTCTAGAATTGTGGGAATTAATATTCATTAAGGGTGCTGCACCTGAATGGTCATCTTTATCATGAATATTAATTTCCTCCCCCTACATCAGCGAAGGACCACCTACTTACCTGTTAATCATCCCCTGATCTTCCCTGCGTTCCATTCAGAAGGGCTCGTCCCTATGCCCTAATCCCTTCAAAGGGTTTACCCTCCGGAGTGAGAGCTTCAAAGGGTTGAAGGGTTTAGGGGACCAAACAACTATTTCTTGAAGTGCCCTTCTGCGTCCTCATCACGTGCCTACACGGAGGCGCCGTCATCATGCAAAGAATCTGCGCAAAGGATCATGGGAGCCCGAAGTGTCGATCAGTTGTACCCTGCGAAATCCTTCATTCTGAAGGGCCCTTTGAAGTGGCCAGTTTTGAGCACTTTGGTTTGGAACGACCCTTCAATATGGTGGCCATGATTGTTTTCACTTCGAAGTGCCCTTCGGAGGGTGATACATCCCGTTTGGACGCACTGCTAAAGAAAGCTTATAAAGTTTGCAGATTACTTGTGGCTTTAAACAACAATAATTGTCCAATCGAAACATTTGGAAATGCACATTTATATGCACATGCACAAGAAGGTTAGATTAAAATTAAAATACATTTAGAAGAACAGTTATCAACAAAGAGTAACACAGTGATGTGAATGATATATGTGCTCATATAACAAAATCAGACCCTTCACTAGAAGCCTGAAAAACAAGTGATCATGGAAGATACATTTGAGATGCATGTTAACACATGACCACTGGTGATCGGTTCCCCGTATCAGAAACAGATCTTAATGCCAAGGTTTAAATAGGGCCAATATAATATTATCCTCATAAGAAACCCAACTCAATTCTCTGTAAAATTAAAGGTGTGCGATTGAAGCTGGAACACCTGAACCTAATAATTGCATATTACACGTTTCCATGACAACTGATTATCTGGAAACAACAGGTAAATGGCAGGTGCAGGCACTATAAAGGAACAGTTCAGTAACACTAATATGTGTTGGGGGTGTATTGTGTGTTTTATGGTTCTGTAGTGGTGTTGCTGCGGTAGGGAACTGGTGTATTTCTAGCTGGATATGGAGGACACCAGTATACGTTTCTTAAGGTATGATATTAAATCAGTTTATTTGTTTTATCTTTGTTTGGTTCTTCTATCAAATACTAAAGATAAGTCTTTTGTTTTACAGAATTTCTTTGGCCTTTCTCAGTCTCTGTGTCCATGGTCAACTTGGAAGTGGTAAGTTTTATTCAGTCAAGTTCTGTAATCCAGGTTTATCAACATGTCCCTTTGACTTATTTTTTCCCCCCCTTTCTACTTAGTTGATGGCTTTGTCCGCAGTGCAGGTTATCCTGGATCCTATGAGGCTGGTCCCCCTTTGCAGGATGTTGTGAAACCACAAAATTCCAGCTGGTATGGCCAAGGAGCTGTATCTGGTTCCATCGAGCCTCTAAGATCCAAGAATATCCCTTACAGTGCTGCAGTTAGGGGTGTTTACAGCAGTGTAAGCTATAGCCCTCAAACAGTCTCTTTTGGCTCTGGTCCAGTGACAAGTGTTCATATGCTTGGTTCTGACTCCAGTGCTAGAAACCAACTTCAAGGTTCTCTGATATCTTTAGCTGGTAGTGGCCGTCTTGTTTCTGGTTCTGTGGCAAGTGCATTGGGTACAAGTGTAAACGGTGAGTCTGTACCCCAGCCAGCACAGCTCAGTTCTCAAACTCCTGCGCCGACTAGTAGTGAGTCTGTAGTGTCTAGTAGCCAGCAACCAATGCAGACCAGCTCCCAGTCCAGTGCCCAACAGCCATTTATCAAATCCCAGAACGGTGGACTTGTGCATGTTGGTTCTGGGCTCTTTTCTGGTACCAGGCCAGTCCAGACTTCAAGTTCTGGTTTTATATTCAAGCCTGTGCAGCGACAAAATCCGTCCTCCCTACCTGGTTACCAGTTAGTGCAGGGCAGCCATGGGTTACATTATGAATCCAGAGTTCAGTCCAGCAGTGTGCAACCAGCACAGGCAGGCTACCAACCCATGGCCCAGCCCAGCATCCAACAGTCATATCAAGCCAGCAGCCAACGTTCTGAACAAGCCATCTCTCAATTTGTGGACCAGTCCAGTGGCCAGCAGTCAGCACAAGCCAGCTACCAGTCTATGCAACCGCCTAGTCTCCAAAAACCAGGACAGACCCAATACCAGCCTGTCTCACAGCCCAGTGGCCTGCAGTCAGCCCAAACGCGCTACCAGTTTGTGCCCCGGCCTGGTGGCCAAAAACCAGGTCAGACCCGATACCAGCCTGTCTCACAGCCCAGTGGCCAGCAGTCAGCACAAGCCAGCTACCAGTCTATGCAACCGCCTAGTCTCCAAAAACCAGGACAGACCCAATACCAGCCTGTCTCACAGCCCAGTGGCCTGCAGTCAGCCCAAACGCGCTACCAGTTTGTGCCCCGGCCTGGTGGCCAAAAACCAGGTCAGACCCGATACCAGCCTGTCTCACAGCCCAGTGGCCAGCAGTCAGCACAAGCCAGCTACCAGTCTATGCAACCGCCTAGTCTCCAAAAACCAGGACAGACCCAATACCAGCCTGTCTCACAGCCCAGTGGCCTGCAGTCAGCCCAAACGCGCTACCAGTTTGTGCCCCGGCCTGGTGGCCAAAAACCAGGTCAGACCCGATACCAGCCTGTCTCACAGCCCAGTGGCCAGCAGTCAGCACAAGCCAGCTACCAGTCTATGCAACCGCCTAGTCTCCAAAAACCAGGACAGACCCAATACCAGCCTGTCTCACAGCCCAGTGGCCTGCAGTCAGCCCAAACGCGCTACCAGTTTGTGCCCCGGCCTGGTGGCCAAAAACCAGGTCAGACCCGATACCAGCCTGTCTCTCAGCCCAGTGGCCAGCAGTCAGCACAAACCAGCTACCAATCTATGCAGCAGCCTAGTCTCCAAAAACCAGGATTGACCCAATACCAGCCTATCTCGCAGCCCAGTGGCCAGCAGTCAGCACAAGCCAGCTATCAGTCTGTGCCCCAGCCTAGTGGCCTGCAGTCATCTCAAACCAGCTACCAATCAGCGCAAGCTCCCTACCAGTCTGTGTCCCAGCCCAGTGGCCAATCTGTGGCTCTTCAGCCTGGATTCCAGCTGTCTTCTATGCCACAGCAGTCAAGTTATGCGTCTCTTTCCAGTTTTGGTTCCCAACCCCTAGAGCAACCCAGTAATGTACAACTTGCTTCAAGCTATGAGTCCGTGTTGCAGCCTGACCTTCAGGATACAGCACCACTGCGCTCCCAGATTACTCAAAACGAGCGCTTGTCACCAGGCATGTTGAGGCTGTTGCAGCAAGTGAAGTCATAGCTGATGTAACTTCAAATTATTATTATTATTTTTTTTTTTCTCCAAACAATAAATCGCCTAAAACTTGGTTTGTGTTTGCTGGGTTCTTTTTCAGCCATCTAAATCTGCAAGGGCTTTAATGTGGTCTGATGCAGTAATATTTTGTTAGGTGTATGATGTCTTCTAGGAAAGGGGGGGGGGTAGAAGGAATGCTTGTCTACTGGTAATTTAATATCGTTGACCAGTGAAGTTCTATTGTTTGCCATCTCTTCGGTTTTCTTTGTTTGGTGTTCTCTGTGGTTATGTAATCAGTTTAGATTCTTTTAAAAGCTCTTATTTCGTAATTTATTACAGGTGCTTGGTTCAAGGCGTGATCGCAGGCTGGTTATGCAAAACTCATGGGTAACTAGTTTCTGTGTCCTCTACAGGTTGATTGTATATTGACATCACTAGTGGATGTTTCTCCAGTTGCTTGTCATAGTGTGCATATAAATCCTAAAGTGGTGCTGGTGTAGTGTTGTGTGTGTGTGTGTGTGTTTTTTTTTTTTTTTTTTTTTAAACGGCTTTTATTTCCATCAATCTTAAGGGGTAAGTGTTTTTACAAAGTCAAACAAGTTTTAATGACATTTGAACAAATGGGATGAGTTGCTGAACAAAGAAGGGGGGTTGATTTCAAAAGTTACAGTAAGTATGTTGTGTTGCCACTGGCTGCTTTAAGCACTGTGTCACGTTCTCATGGACATGGAGTTTTGCCAGTTCTCGCTGTGAGAGAGATATATATATATATTACCCCACTTTTCCACCAAGTTACTTGTTCTCAAACCTGTCTGGGGGGGAGGGCATGGTTTGCCATTGCAAGAATGATCAGCTGTCCTTGTCTCCCTGTAGCACTGTCTTATAGGCCTCTTACAGTACATTATGGACATTGCAGTGTATTGCTCAGGCCACATAAGAAATGCAAGTCCTCATGTCTCCTTGCAGCAGAATTATGGCATGTTCAACCAGATGATCAGGGACCCTGGGCATCTACTGTTTTTTTTTTTTTTTTTTTTTTTTTTTTTTTTTTTTTTTGGGAGTCCGTAGAAAGGTGCTGTGAGTGTCTCAAACTGTATGGTTAATTGAAAGTACGAAAAAAATAGTTAATTTTCAATAAAAATATGAAGCCCAAGTGTGGACAGTGCTTGAGACTCAATGTAGGCTTTATTTGATTGTAATCTGGTTTCTCTCCTGGCTCTTCTCCACACATTACCCTTGGGATGAAGTTTTTGTAATGGCCACACAAAGTCTAAATTAACTTTTATTCAGAAATCCATTGATTATAGCGGAGGTGTATTCAAGTCATTGTTGATGAATTAAAAGTTGTACAAAAAAAATATATATAGGTGCTTTGCCACTGCATGGTACAGCTCGGCTCAGTTTGCGTTTCCACTGCAGTTTAGTACCGCTTTAGAGTGGGCTGGATTATAGTCATGTCGTTATAGTTGTGCCGCCTCTACTGCCGTGACCTCCTGATTAATCATGCGATTAATCGTGATAAAATGTAATCGTTACCCAGCACTAATACATATACATATTACAGATTGTGGCAGTTCTAAAGTGATTTTCACTTTAATTTTTTTCTATTAAACAAATGAATGACCATAAAATATATTAATTGCATACATTAAATGCCACAATTCGGCACTACATTGTGAGGTGTGTTATGTATTATGTAGTCGTGCAGGACCCCTCTTCTAGACCCAAACACAATATAAAAACATGACCCCCCCCCCCCCCCTTCTCCCAATTTCCTCCCACAGGATTTGAAAAGCATTTAAATTAGCAGCAAATATTTGAATTAGCAGTAAAATGAAAAACATGCAGACCATGAATCTTACTGGAGGGAATATATTAAACACAAACTCACTGAGTATCATTCTAAAGTGAAATGATGGTAGTTCATCTGTTTTCCACATTCATTAAATAGGAATACAGATTACAAAATTTCATTTCACAACATGTTTATCATTTCATAACATTATTTTATGCTGCTGGCTCTCTCTTCATAGCCTTGAGTTTGAGGTCCCTTGATTCTGGAGGCTGTCTTTGTATTTCATTGAAATCATTTGAGGTTTCTCCAGCGAGACATGCAAAGATCTAACTTCTTTTTTTTGTAGTATGTACAAAATTAATCTCGAACCACTTAAGTTAAAACTACTGCAAAAGAAGATATCCCTGTACTTAATGTACATTAATTAACATGATTAATAACAAACTGAAATAGCTTAGTAGCTTTACAAGTTATTCAAAGGGGTTCTACAAACATGAAAACAGTGAATGTTGAATGTTGTTGTATAAGGTATGTATAATTTACATAGGCTACCTCATTTCTTAGAGCAGTGGTTCCCAACTCTGGTCCTGGAGGCACCCCAACACTGCATGTTTTGCATGTATCCTTAATCAAACACACCTGATTCAGGTCATCAGCTCATTAGTAGAGACTCCAAGACCTGAAATTGGTGCGTCAGAGAAAAGAGACATGCAAAATGAGCAGTGTTGGGGTGCCTCAAGGACCAGGGTTGGGAACCACTGTCTTAGAGTACATGACCAGAGTTCCTAAAATGCCATAACTTCACTATTATGGGACAAAAAGCATCTTTCTCTAATGACCATTTAAAAGTAGCCATATGTTCTGATACATTTTTTCTTATGATTTTTAGCATGATCAAATTTTCATTATTTGTTGTTTAATATTCAATGCTTGGAGAAGCTCTACATAGTTCTCTCCATAGGAATATTATATGAATTATTTTTTCATAGACATGTCTTATTACATCTAGTAATACAGGCAATTCAATCTGGTAAAAATATATTTTAAATAACGCTAACATCTTTTTTTTTCATTGAATGCATTCATTCTATAAAACAAAAATATGCTTGACAAAATCAGTTCAATAAGACTAAAATAGAAGGTCAGCTTTTCCTGTGATGAGGGCTGTGACACCTGAATCTAATAACTGTATATTACATGTTCCCATGGGGGGGGGGGGGGGGGGGGGTTTTTTTTTTTTTTTTTTTTTTTTTTTTTTTTTTTTTTTTTTTTTTTTTTTTTTTTTTTTGTAAAGTTTTTTTTTTTGCTGAACATGGAGGGTACCGCTGTGCAACTCTTAAGGTTTAATTTGTTGTTTCTTTTTTTTTTTTCTCTTCTATAAAGCATATGGCTGTGGCTTGGTATGGCCAAGGAGATGTATCCGATCCCATCAGGCCACTAAGATCCAAGAGTTTCGCTTATGGTGCTGCAGTTAATGGTGTATATAGCAGTGAAGGCTATAGCCCTCAAACTGGCTCCTATGGCTCTGGTCCAGAGACAAGTGTGTATAACATTGGTTCTGAATCTGATGTTAGAAGGCAAAACCCAGGCTCTCTGTTATCTTCAGGTGGCAGTTTTGTTTCTGGTTCTCTAGCCAGTGCATTAAGTACGTGTGAGACGTAAGACTGTACCCACGTCAGCACAGCTTAACTATCAAAATTTATCCAATTTATAATTTATCCAAGCCCAGTGGCCTGCAGTCAGCACAATTCAGCTACCAATCGGTGTCCCAGCCTAGTGGACAACCAGGACAGGCTCGTTACCAGGCTTCATCACAACCCAGTGGCCCACAGTCCGCACAAACCAGGTACCGGGCTGTGTCCCAGCCCAGTGTCCAAGTACCAGCACAGGCCAGCTACCAATCTGTGTCCTGGCCCAGTGGCCCACAGTCAGCTAAAACCAGGTACCATTCTTCATCCCAGCAGCCTACAATCGGCACAAGCCAGCTACCAATCTGTATCCCAGCCTAGTGTCCAAGTACCAGCGCACGCCGGCGACCAGTCTGTGTCTCATCCCAGTGGCCTGCAGTCAGCACAAGCCAGCTACCAATCGGTGTCCCAGCCCAGTGGCCCACAGTCGGCACAAGCCAGCTACCAGTTAGTACACTCCAGGTTTCAGGCACCAATTTATAAGCCCACATCTCAACTGGTTGACACTGGGTTTCAGCTCTCTATGCCAGAAAAATCAAGTTTCCATTCTCTTTCTGTTCTTGGTTCCCAACCCCTGGAGCAACCTAGTAATGCGTTTATTCCTTCAGGCTATGAGTCTCTGCAGTCTCTTCAACCTGGCTTTGAGGATCCAGCACCACTGCTTTCCCAACCTACTCCAAGCAAGAGTTTGTCTTCCGGTGTGTTGAGGCGTTTGCAACAAGTGAATTCATAGCTGTGTAACTGTCTTTCATGGTTTAATGTTTGCTTTTTGAAACAAAATAAATGACTTTAATGTGCTTGTGGTATGTTCACTGTTTTTATCGTTTTACATGTGCAGGTGACTTCTAGAAACCAATTTCTGAAGATCACTAATTTCCAAAATCAAGTGACCAACATCTATTACTTTTGTTAAGACTGACAATCTAGCACTACAGTTCCCACCTTTTCTAGAACCCTTCAGAACCACACAATGCAAAAACTTGACTTTGGCTTAATTTGTTCCCCACGAGGTTCTACATCTAAATTAGAAGCAGACATTTGGGGGGCGGGGACACATTGTAGAGGATTTATTAAAACGCATTAAACAATACACTGAGTACAAAGTGAAATGATGGTAGTTCACTTATGTTTTCTCGCGTTATCTCTGCAAAACAACTGTTTCTCATAGCTGTTTAAAAACCAGGACAAAGAGCCCTCTGGTCCCAGGTAATGTGGTGACATCTATCATGTGTTCATTGCAACCAAGGTGTCTTAACCTGGGTCTTTTGGTAGCTTTTGAAGCCTAGTTTGTACTCGAATGAAAAGATTTCTAATATTAGACTGAAGCTTTTTAAATACTAAATACATTCATTTTGGCTTCAGTTTGATTGCATTTAAATGGAGCTTAATATCAATATTGTGACAAAGTACAAGTGAAATGGTGTAAACTCATCACACGGGATTAAAACCACTTCATTTCCCAACACATTTTATGCTGCTGGCTCTTTGTAACCTTGGGTTTAAGGTCCCTTTGCGCGTGAGCAGTGTTGGGCAAGTTACTCTGAAAATGTAATCAAATTACTGATTACTCCTTTTAAAAGTAATCGTGTTACTGTTCTGATTACTTTATTTCAAAAGTAATTAGTTACATTACTAGTTACGTTACTTTTTTCTCCATGAAATTTATGAAATCCCAGCATACACGCTCCCGATAAATATTTGTTATTAAAACATCAACATTCACACAACACTTATTTTGAACTAAAGCAATTATAATCTCTAAAAGACAACTCAGTTCATCGCAATCTCACAAATCTCTGTTATAACACAATACATATATGCATAATGAATCTTTCATAATGTCTACAAATCGTGTGTTATAATGAGAGGATTCGTGAGCATGCAAATTTCAGCACTACACTGCTGACTGGCCATTGTGTTCCAGAAATCACCATTGCTCAATGCAGCAAACGCGTGTTACAGCCTAAATAGAAACTCTGCCTACACTTGCGCCTGTTAATCATTTTGGTCCCACTTTATATCAGGTGGCCTTAACTACTCTGTACTTACATTTAAATTAATCATTTAATACAATGCACTTATTGCGTACATACATGTTTTTACATTGTACTTATATTTTGTTATAACACAATACATATATGCATAATGAATATTTCATGTCTACAGTTCGTGTGTTATGAGAGGATTCGTGAGCACGCAAATGTCAGCACTGCATTATGCTCAACGCTGCAAATACGTGTTATAGCCTAAATAGAAACTCTGCATGCACCTGTTAAACGTTTTTATTTTATATTAGTTTGTAGCTTTTGTGCAATATATGAATAATTTATTTGTTTGAGATATTTTGTTTAGATATTTCTATTTTGCATGAGTCCCGTGAATCCACTGGCACCTGACTCGACAGTGCGTGTGCTACATCCTTTTTACAATCTCTAGATTATAAAACACTGCATTCTGTCAGCAATGTAACGCGGCAGTAACGTATAGAGACCTCAGCTTGTAACTATACTCTAATTACTATTTTGAAAATTATAACGCGTTAAATTACTCCGTTACTAAAAAGTAATCAAATTACAGTAACGCGTTACTAAGTAATGCGTTACTGCCCAACACTGCTCGTGAGGCTGTCTTTGTGTTTCAAGTGTGTGTGAACATTTAACTGCTTTTTTTCCCCCCCCCCACATTCGTAGTTTACACTGATCATTTTGAACCCCTCAAGTCAAAACTACTGCAAAAGAAGCTATGATCACGTTTACGGTCAGCCATGACACTTAAGTGCCATTTACATTGCTGTTGAGATGCAGAAAACAAACAAAATACTCCATCTACATTAACATGACTAATACCACAGACTCAAACGGAGTATACGAGTTATTGAAAGAGGTTTCTACTGCGTTTGAAATGGCCCATAGCAGATGCCGTCTCTATGGTAACATCTGGCCTCCATTTAAAGTGCGCTGCTTAAAAACAGTTACACAAGGCATATTTCAAATTGAAACAAAAACAATCCATATCCATACAACTTATGGCACCAGAACAATCGTCAATACTATCCATAAGCTCGGCTTAGTAAAACCGGAGCAATTAGGGTCCAAGTTCTCAGCGATTCACAAAATGTCAAGCAAAATGCATCTGACAAAAGAATGTGATAATACAAAATGTGGATAATTAAGTGTACAAATTAAAAGCATCTGAATGTGAGGAACATGGTTGAAACAATGCACAAATATCCCTGTGGAGCAGAATTTACTTTGTTCCAGAAATTAAAAACAGAAATATTCCAGACATGCTGTTGATAGCATGAATATAAAATAATAATAGTATATAATATACAGTGGGTATGGAAAGTATTCAGACCCCCTTAAATTTTTCACTCTTTGTTATATTGCAGCCATTTGCTAAAAATCGCTTGTCCCTCACTTTGTAAAATCAAACATAGATGCATTGTACCAGAAATGTGAAACTTGTATTGTGTTGAAGCACCTGCATGACTTATAAATGTAAACATTTAAAAATTAAATTTAAATTAAATCGAATTTACATAAAACAACTGATTATATAAATTGTGAGACTGCTTTATATGTTACCAAAAATTTCCAGACATACGAAATTGTGGGCAGCATTTCCTCTGCAAATGAATTACTATGAATGCATTTTGTTCAGTTTTTTACAAACCGAGGGATATTTTTTTGTGGTATTCAACAGCTTGCCAGATGATGTGAATAGAGTTCACGTTGCATTTAAAATGAAACATTCCAAGATTTTCAAAGTATTAGCTCATGAAACATTCCATTTGCCATTGATTTGACTGTCCTTTAAAGGTGCAATCGGTAATTTTTGTTTAGTGAGTATTATTTAGTACGTCATGTGATCTAACAAGAGGCAGACCGACTCTATGTAAATAATTTTTTTCTTAGGCTACTGCCAATTTTAATTGTACACTGTTTTAAATGTCTCAGAACTTTTTAGAATAAAAAATACTGAAAGCACCTTTAAACCTTCATGGACAACACTCTTTTTCTTTTTAAAGGGGAATGTAAACTAAAAACAATCCAGTACAATTCAAATATCAAACTTTAGTGCTGGCAAACTGTAAAATTATCTGAAGTTTTCCAGAGAAAATTATAGTCATTGCACTATTCTGTGTTTAGGTGCACTACACAGCAATAACCTGCAGGGGTAGCAACAATACGCAATCCATGAGCGGAGCCAGGAGCAAAGCACAGGCTGTAGAGGTGGGACATCTGGCCCTTGAACTGGCCAGGAACTAGTTGCACCTCCAGATGGCTCAACGTTAGCAGAGATGAAAATGTTCTTCATGGCCATCAAGAAAAACAAGCCATGATGTAAGAATATTAATTCAAATTATTTTAAAAAAAAGTCTAAGCTCAGAGGACTGTCAGAACAGTGGGTGCCCTCTTCATAAGCGTCCTTAGTCTTTCCTTGATCGATCAAGACTATCGTATCGCAGAAGATAAAAAAGAATGAAAGAGAAACTGAAATCTACCGAATAAAACTTACAGGCATACATGTACAGATTCTGAAAGACAAAAGTGCAACTGATAAGGTTTGCTGTTTAATATTCATCAGTTGGAGGAGTTCTCCACGGTTTTGTCTGTAGGTATTGTATAGAAAGAGGACGGAACAGCTGCGGGCTAGTCCTCAATGCATATAACATCGCTAGGTTTGCCTGATTTCAGATCAGGGGTGGCCACATCTCGCAGAGCATCACTGGACTTCTTCTCCAGGTGGCTGGTTGGGGTTGGAGGTCCGTTTGAGGACACTAAAAAGAAGCATTATAGAACAGCAGCATTATATTTCCATATATTAAACCTATTTAATTACTTTCTTTCTGGATACGTCTTGTTCTCACACTGCTTTCCCTAGACTGAACACAAGCAAGACTGCTTGTGTTATTTTAGTATTATTTATATACTGTATATGTACTATTACAGAATTTATTAATATTTTGAATTAGTTTATCTTTATTACCTTCATATCTTGGTTTACATTTGAGTGATTTTGTTATGTGTTTGTCATTTTTATTTCTATATAGCTTTAATTTTTATTTAAGTTTTGGTACCTTTAGTACTTCAACTTATTTCAATTAGTTATTTTTGTTTAATTTTATTTCATTTCTTTCAGTAGTTTACGTTTTAGCTTACAATAACTAAAAAGACTATTCACTGAATTTGCAAAAGTTAATTTGGTAGCAAACTAGATATTAATGTAGATATTTATGCACTAGTCTAACTGTGGCTGGTTGATTTAAATGTTGTTCAGGTGGACTCTTCCTTTCTAAGTGGGCGGTTCTTGGACAGAATTGATGCAATTCATAGCTTTCAGTCACGTGACCGGCTCGAAGACTTGGAGGGCAACACATCCATAGAACTGCAGAACAAGCCTGTCAATTTTCCATCTGTTTCAACACCGCAAATATTTAGATCACCTCTCAAAAGAATAAAACAAAGCTATGTGAACAAAATGCAAGTTTTGGCCATTTGCAATCTATATTAAGCACCCGCGGCAATATTTCAATCATTAAACAGTGTGACAAAACTTTGTAAAAACATTTAAAGTGCCTTAATATATTTAAAAACAGTAATATTCTCTATATTAATGATGCATAGGTTACATAGGCATTAGGCAAGCAGATGAGGCCGGAATATGAATGCAATTCGCTTAATGGTTCAGTGTTTTCCTTCTAATGGTTTTCTATGGGAAACCATTTAACATGAAACTTTGCACATTGCATTTATATTCTGGCTACATCTGCTTGCCTGTAGAAAATATACAT